CAAGAACCGGCACTGGAACTTGCCACACACAGAACCGGCCCTCTACTGTGAGTCGCATGATTTCCACAGGAGGAGGAGGAGGAGAAGAGATTGGATTTATACCCCGCCCTTCACTTGGAGTCTCAAGAGCGGCTTACAAACGCCTTTCCCTTCCCCTCCCCACAACAGACACCCTGTGAGGTAGGGCGGGGCTGAGAGAGCTCTGACAGAAACTGCTCTTTTTCAAGGACAGCTCTGATAGAACTAGGGCTTGCCCAAGGTCATCTGGCAGGTGCAAGTGGAGGAGCGGGGACTCAAACCCGGTTCTCCCAGATTAGAGTCCGTGCACTTAAGCACGACACCAAACTGGCTCTGACAAGAGGGAATTACTTTGACAAGAGGACTACTTTCAGTCCCCGGGAGGTTCTCCAATCCACGCCACCTTCTTACAGGGTTCATATCTGGAAGAACGTTACGTCGGGCGGCTTGCACACAAGGGTTCCCCTGGGGTTGCCAACCTCCAGGTGGGCCCCAGAGATCCCCTGGAATCACCACCGACCTCCAGACTACAGAGATCAGCCCCCCTGGAGAAAAGGGCTACTTTGGAGGGCCGAGGACATTATACCCTCTTGAGGTCCTTCTGCACTCTCTCTCCAGGCTCCACCACCAAATTTCCAGGACTCTCCCATTGTGGAGTTGGCAACCCGAGTTCCCCCCTACATGGGAGATGGGAAGTCCTGATTCAAATAGGATGCTGATGTCACTACCCACTGCCCCCACCCCCCATGAGATTTCCCCTTTAAACTGGATAAAAGAAAGACCTCCGTCGGTTTGCTGCAAGGAAAGAACTGCACGGTGGCCATGGGTGGGAGCGTCCATGCAGATACTCCCGAGCGCTAAACTCCACCTTCTTAAGGGTGGAGCTAAACTCTGACTCATGGGACTTCCAGAACTTTCCCGTCACACCAGATTAAAGGCCACCCTCCTTTGATCATCGCAGTCAAAGGAAGAAGCAGAGGGGCGCGGCTGCTGGGAAGCGGGACCCTGAGGATATCCCACCAGGGATCACGAGGAGGAGGGGGTGAAGCTAAGCGCCGCCTTCTAACTGGCAGAACAAATCTCTGCGATTCCGTCCCCCAACTGACTGACTTTTAGCCTTTTATAGGGTTCTCCGTCCCCCTCTTCTCTGCAGAGCCATGCTATAGCTTAACAGGGTGGGTCAGAGGGGAAAGGAACGTAAGAGAAGTCACGATGGATCATACGGAGCTGAAGGTCCATCAGTGGCTCTTAGCCACAAGGTATAGAGTCGAATCTGACTGGCTTTCGAGGAAGGGAAACCTTTCCCTTGATAGATGGAACACTCAGTCTAGGGCAGGGATGCTCTGTCTTCTTGGAGCTTGGGGGGGCAACAGTGGGAGGGCTTCTGGAGTTCTGGCCCTGCTGCTGGACCTCCTGATGGCACCTGGGTTTTGGCCACTGTGTGACACAGAGTGTTGGACTGGAGGGGCCATTGGCCTGATCCAACACGGCTTATGTTTTTATGGGCCCCGCCTGGTGGAACTCTTGGCTGGAGAATGCCCGTGCCCTGCAGGATTTACTGCCTTTCCACACATAAAATTGGCGCTGTCGACATGGCGTCATTGGTTAGAAGGGGCGAGGGTTCCTTTCGAAGTTTGGACTGATCACAAGAACCTAGAGACTTTAAAGTCCCCTCGGATGCTTAATGCTAAACAACTCCGGTGGGCTGACTTCTTTGCTAAGTTCCAGTTCACGCTCCATCATTTTCCCGGGTCTTCCAACTCGCTGGCTGATGCTTTGTCACGCCTCCCTCAGCACGACAGCCAATCGGCCCCCGCAGCATTGAGAAGTATACTGTTTTATTTGCTGATTATGTTATAGGTATTTCGATGTTGGTTTTCATTTGAATTTATTGGTTGTACTTGCTCTGTTGCCGCCCTGCTTGCAGGGAAGGGCAGACTAATAAACCTAAATAAATAAATAATAAATGCCTAGCCTTTAGATCAAGTTGGCCCACTTTTCCAGGGTTGGAGGTGGGGGGGGCCAAACCCCACTACCACCACCCTGAGATCCCTTTAATTGAAAAGGCTACGGATTAAACCTGGGACACAAACTTTTCATCCACCTCTCCTCCCTGCACGATTCCTCCCATAGAATCACAGAGTCAGAAGGGGGCCCTACAGACCCTCTAGTCCAGCCCCCTGCCCCATGTAGGACCAGCCTAGAGCATCTCTGACAAATATTCCTCCGGCCTCTTCTTGAAAGCTGTCAGTCATGGGGAGCTCGCCACCTCCCTAGGCAGCCGATTCCACCTCTGAACCACTCTGACCGTGAAAAACTTTTTCCTAATATCCAGCCGATTCCTTTCTGCATGTGACTTAAACCCGTTGCTTCGGGTCCTCTCTCCTCTGCTGCCAATTGGAACAGCGCCTCGCCCCCCTTGGACTTGGCGCTCATTCAGTGAAAAATGGGACCAAATTGCAGGGTATGGAGAGGAGCTTTCCAGAAGAGGAAAGGCGGCCCATCCACTCTTCGCGCTTCTGTGGCCCCACCCTTACGCTAACTGCTCCGGGATCAGTTGCCCGGGAAACGAGTTGTGTCATGTGGAACCGCCCAACAAACTTTGGTACTGGTGCAGTTAGAGGCTCCATCAGTGGCCCTTGAGGAGGCCAGCCCGTAGCTAGGGAATTTGGGGGGAGGGGGCGTCGAGGGGCCCACCAGCTAATTAAACGAAAGGTGGTGGTAAGTTGGAGCACTTTGGGGGCAACCCAGGAGGGAGGGGGCCCAGAAGAAACACCAGGGGGCTGGGCCCCGTGGGCCCCATGCTAGCTACAGGCCAGAGGCAGCCCCCTCCTTTATAACTTCTCTCCTGCGTTTTTACCCTTTGTTGGCAGCGTTCCCTCTAAGCCGAGTTAAGTGTGAGCTACCTCACAGGTTTTTTTAGCCTCCGGCTCACACATTTTTGTCTCGGCTCAGGCAGGACGGCCCCAGAGGAAAACTAATTTATGCAGCAGCCAAATCGCTCGCTCGCAACTCTAACGCTGTAATGACTTTAATAAACTTTTCTTGGTCTTAAAAGGTGCCACCAGACTCTTATATTTTACTGCTTCCACACGGCTGACCACCTGGAGCTTTTAACGCCAGTGGCTCACACAGCAGAATTTTGGCTCATAAGCCTCCACAGCTTAGAGCAGTGGTGGCGAACCTATGGCACGGGTGCCAGAGGTGGCACTCAGAGCCCTGTCTGCGGGCACACATGCCATCGCCCCAGCCAGGCCCAGACTGTCCTTAAATTGTCGAATTCTCTGCCAAATAATTTGAAGTAAATTAAAGCATTTGGGATTGCTTTCCTTACTTTGTTTGGATCAGCTTAAGCTAATGTATGAGTTGTTGTTTTTCTAAAGTAAAACCTCAGTATTCAGGTTAAATTGCCGTGTTGGCACTTTGCGATAAATAAGTGGGTTTTGGGTCGCAGTTTGGGCACTCGGTCTCTAAAAGGTTCGCCATCACTGGCTTAGAGGGAGCCCTGGTTGTCAGCAATGTTCCCTTCTAAGCTGTGGAATCCTGTGAGCAAAAATCCTACCTTGTGAGCTCCTGACGTGGAAGTTGTGAGCGAGCGATTTGGCTGCTGCATAAATCAGTTTGCTCTGGAGCCCTCCTTCCTGAGCCAAGACAAAAATGTGTGAGCCAGAGGCTAAAAAATTGTGAGCTGGCTCACACTAACTCAGCTTAGAGGGAACACTGGTTGTCAGGCAGGCAAAAAAAAAAAACAGTAAAGCTCCCCTCCCCCCATTTCCAGAGATGCAGCAGCAGGAGGAGGAGGAGGAGGAGGGAGATTCTCTGGCAGTCCTTAAAGGTGCAGAAACTCTGGCAAGAAAGAGGAAAGCAGACCGCAACTCGCTTTTTCACGAGCCAAACGAAAATTCAGCGTCGCGCCCTGGGAGAGCCGCACCCTTCCAGAGTCCCGCCGCCGCCCCACCCCTCTCCCCGCACCCTGGCAGTTCTGCTCGGGGCCACAGATAAGCCCTCTCTCGTTTTTCCTGTTGCCGTTTTTTTTTTTCTCCTGCCCCCTCCAAACTATCCGTTTTGCAAGCAGTGTTCCCTCTAAGCCGTGGAGTCTTGTGAGCAAAAATTCTACTTTGTGAGCTGCTGGCATTAAAGTTGTGCGTGAGCCATTTGGCTGTTGCATCAGTTAGTTTGCTCTGGAGCCCTCCTTCCTGAGCTAAGGCAAAAAAATCTGTGAGCCGGAGGCTAAAAAACTGTGAGCCGGCTCACACTAACTCAGCTTAGAGGGAACACTGTAAATTGCAAGGCTTAAAAATCCCCACGCGCCTCCCGCTCAACCCTTTCCCCGGGAGAAATCCATCGAGCGAGGGAAGGAAAAAAAAACCCGCACAGCGAAGGAAACACAACCCTCCCCGTTGGGGATTCCAGCCCAGAACTTTTCCATCGGAAAGTCTTTTTTTTCTCTCCCTCTGAGCGCTTCTCCTCCCATCGCTCAGCTGGGAGGAACGCATTCTGCGCATGCTCGACTCAACGCCCGGGCTTGAGATTTCGCAGCTGACTTCTCCAAAGCCTTAGAAGAGGCAGGGAAGTCCCAAAGGGCGAACGAGAAGAGAGAGATTTCTTTTTCTTTTTTTCCAACCCTGCCCGGGGAAGCAAAAAAAAAAAACCCACCCTCTGAAAGGAGGATGGTTACAGCGTTGCCAACTGTCTGGACGGGAGGAAAAAAAAGATATCCTGCTCCTTTACTGGGATGGTCTCAGCCAGATGTCAGGTTACCAATCTCCCTGCAAAGTTTCACTGCCCCTTTTGACGGAGGCTCTTATTAAAAGTTGCAGGGTTGTTGTTTTTTTTCCCTCCCATCTCCAGGGCTGTTGGCAACCGTAAGAACCACCCCTGGGAAGCAACTTTGAGAAGTAACGGTGAGTTGTCACAGCATCCCGCTCCTCCGCAACTTAGAAAGAATGCGTCGCAGTGGAGAGAGAGAAAAGGGGACTTACCAAGAAAGCGACCAGGCGGGACAGATGTTGAAGGAGGCAGAGAAGTGGGAACTGACTCGCAGCCGGGTTTTATAGGCAGGGGTGGAGTCTGCCCTGAGTCCCCTGGAAGAGAGCTGATTGGGCGCTGCGAGCAAGCCAGCCCCCCCCAAAAAAATTCTGCATACTTCTTTCACTCCCTCTTCGTTGGCTGCTAGTAGCTCTGCCCCCCCTTCCCTGTCTGCCTGCCCAGAACTGTCTGGATAATCCTGCTCCGTCATCTGCTCCGCTCCCAACCCCTTGTTGCGCACAAAGAAGCGATTCTAGTCGGCATCCCAGGGCCCGGATGCTGGCTTGTTGGGCTGGTTAAGCGTGGCGGACTCTAACCCAGAGAACCGGGTCTGATTCCACGCTCCTCCGCATGAAGCTAGCTGGGTGACCTTGGGCCAGTCACCAGTTCTCTCGGAGCTGTTCTCTCAAGAGCACTTCTCTCAGTGCTCTCTCGCCCCAATGCTCGCCCTAAAGTGTGGAGTCTTGCCAGCAAAAGTTCTACTTTGTGAGCTATCGGCATTAAAGCTGTGAGCAAGCGATTTGGCCGCTGCAGAAATGAGTGTGCTCTGGAGCCCTCCTTCCCGAGCCGAGACAAAAATGTGTGAGCCAGAGGCTAAAAAGCGGTAAGATAGCTCACACTAACTCAGCGTAGAGGGAACACTGCTCACAGGGTGTCTGTTTTGGCTAGGGGGAGGGAAAGGAGATTGTAAACTGCTCAGAGAGAGTGAAGGCAGGGGTAGAAATCCAACTCTTCTTCTTCTCCTCTTCCTCCTCCTCTTCCTATTACTACTACTCCCCCCCTCCTCCTCCTCACTAAAAGTGAAAGCCAGGCGCTCCTTAAAATGCCCTTATTCTCACTCTACAATACATTACTGATTCCCAGGACAGCGCATTATTTGTTTTGGCCTCCATTACACAGGGTTCGTTTCCTTGCTGTAGCAGCAACTAAGAAGCAAAGAAGGTGTTGCCTCTTTTGCTGAGATCAATACTGGAAGACAAGTCATTGCCCTATAATGCATCACCCACCGTTCAAAATGGACCCTACCAGCTCAGCTTCCCATTCCCCCACTCGGGGTGGGGGATTCCCCCCAGTTCCTGTTGCCCCCCCACAGCGCATAGCGGCAGTGGGAGAGGGGGGGAATAACAGCGGCAGCATGCGCGTTGCTATATCACTTCCAGGGAAAATCCAGAAGTGATGTAGGGTAAGTCTAGGAATCGCCGGAAACTCTATGATTTACCATAGAGTTTCCAGCGATTCCTAGAGCTACCCTACATCACCTCGGGTTTTTTCCCCATTGGTGACATAGCGACACAGCTGACATCGCCCGCCCGCCATGACCCTGCCCTCAACCCTCCCAATGGTTGCTAGGCTTATCCTGGCAACCCCACTTGCTGGCACTCTGCTCCTCCTGTGACGTGAAAAGGCGGGGCTTGCACCAAATTCACGTGTATTATTATTTATTTATTACTTTTGATTTATAACCCGCCTTGCCAAGGCAAACTGGCCACTTGGGGCAAGTGATTCTCTGTATTCCAGAGGCTTGAGGGGGGGCAACAGTGGGAGGGCTTCTAGTGTCCTGGCCCCACTGCTGGACCTCCTGATGGCACCTGGTATGTTTGGCCACTGTGTGATACAGAGCGTTGGACTGGATGGGCCTTTGGCCTGATCCAACATTGGCTTCTTTTATGTTCTTATGTTCTTAAATGTTGAGCCCCTTGCACTATTGGTGCGTTAAGAGAATCAGACTCTAATCCGGAGAACTGGGTTTGATTTCCCCACTGCTCCACATGAAGCCAGCTGGGTGACCTTGGGTCAGTCACAAGTTCTTTCAGAGTGGTTCTCTCAAGAGCAGTCCTCGAGAGAGCTCTCTCAGCCCCACCTACCTCACAGGGTGTCTGTTGTGGGGAGGGGAAGGGAAAGGAGGTTGTAAGCCGCTCCGAGACTCCTTCGGGTAGTGAAGGGTGGGGTATAAAAGCCAACTCTTCCTCTACATGTAAAAAATAGGCTTTTCCCAGGTTTCTAAACCAGCAGATGGACATTCAGGACAGTTTTTGCTTTACATCTCAACCTTCCTGCATGACACAAAGGGAGGGGGTTTGGCTCATTGGCAGAGGCCTTGGCTTTGGATTCCGAAGGTCCCAGGTTCAACCCCCAGCATCCCCAGCTAAAAGGAGCAGGTAGTTGGTGACATGAAGGAGCTTTTGCCGGGCAGAGTAGACTGTACTGACCTGGGCAAACCCAGGATCTGACTTAGTATCAAGCAGCTTCAGCCCTGTGTCTGTACATTTGGCTTGCCAACCTCCAGGACGGGCCTGGAGATCTCCCAGAATTACAACTGTTCTCCAGCTGAAAGAGATCAGTTTCCCTGGAGAAAAATGGCTTTGAGGCGGGGGGTGGGGGCAGGTAGGCTGTATGGCATTGCGTCCCTGCTGAGACCACTTGCTCGAAAGCCAGTCGAATCCAACTCTAGGGATGCGGTGCTCATCTCCCTTTCCAAGCCAAAGAGCCAGCGCTGTCCGAAGACTTTTCCGTGGTCATGCGGCCGGCGTGACTAGACGCCGAGGAGCACGGAACGCTGTTACCTTCCCAACGAAACAGTGCCTATTTACCTACTTGCAATTCAAACTGCTAGGTTGGCAGGAGCTGGGGCCAGAGATGGGAGCTCACTCCATCACGCGGCACTCGGGTCTCGAACTGCCGAGCTACCGACCCCCCTGTGCCCCAACCCCAAATCTCCAGGAATTTTCCAGCCCAGAGTTGGCAGCCCTAATGTCCATGCTCTAAGTTGGTCTCCTTCCAAGCAGATTCCCCCCCCCGCTACCTCCTAACTCCAAAATTAAGGCCACCACCCTATGTACACTTCCTTAGCAGCAAGAAGCTTTACTAAACAAAGTAGGATTTGCGGCCGAGTAAACATGGGCTTGGTCTCTTGTCTCCCACAGGGCAGGGGTAGTCAGGAAGATCCTAAGCAGGAGACCTGGATCTCTGTGGGATGCCACCTGGTGGTCAGGAAGGAGAACTGACCCTCCCTGGGTGGGTTCAGAGGGGCAGCGAATCCCACCATTATGCCAGCTCAAATTTGATCCCGATCTTTTCGCACGACCGGACATCCCCCGGGGGAATTGCCTTACTGTGTGCTGCTTCCGTTGTGGATTGTCTAGATGGTGTCCACTAAATGAGACGGGCGCGCAGTGGCTTTTTAAAAAACAAAAAAGTTTGAGCATGCGCATAGGCATGATATTGCGTCCTTGGTTATTCGCGCATGCGCAGAATCAATGATTTTTTTAAAAATGGCGCCCGTTCAGGATGAAGTCAGACCATCCCGAACGGGCACCATTTTTAATTGCGCACTGGAACGATCAGACAGGGGAAAGTCCACAAGTGGCCCATCGGAACCGAAAACTCTAGATTTAAAGTAGTATATTTTTAGTACGGCCCCTAAGCACGGCGAAACGGGATGCTCACAGAAGACGGACGTTTCCCAGATGTTGATGTCTAGACATTACATTTAAATCCACGAGGCACCTGTGCCTGGCACGGATCTAAAGAGCCGTCTGAACGCACCCCCTGTCTACCTAATCTGTACTTCCTGTCTGCACCCTCTATTAGATTTGCTGCCTGAACATATCCCACGGGGGGGTCCTCATTTAAATGCCAGAGGTTTGCAGCTTTTCTGTAAAAGGACGTTTTCGGTTTCGGAGAACAAGGCATCCAAGTGAGCGCCCCTAAGAAGGAAATAGCTTTAGACGTTGCTGGAGAGAAAACTCTTTTATTTCACGCGGCCGTAGGGTCTTGACGCTGCGGGGCCTCAACCGAAGGCACTCTCCCCCCCCCTATTTGGCATCCTGCTGGAAAAAATCATTGTAGGTCATGCAGAGAGCGGAGAGGAAGCCCGTGTACTCCTTGAAGTCAATCTCGTCGTCGTTGTTCTTGTCCAGGGTCCCCATCAGCTTGTCGATCCCACTGTCTTTCAGCTTCTGCGACAGAAGGTGGTACAAAAGAGACAGTGTGAGAGGGGGAGAAGGAAGTGGGGAGGGGAAGGACTCATATGAGGGTTGCCATCCCCCTATTTTGACAGGGCCTGGGGAGGGGGAGTCTCACACAACACTCCAGGAATTCCCGCAATCTCTGTGGTAAAGAGCATAGAAATTGGGGGAGATTCCTAGAACGTCATGGACATGGCAACCAGGAGTGATATCACACGCAGACACCATTTTTCTCCCACTTCAAGAGAGGACACAGCAGGCCCAAGCCACTGGGGGCCTCCTGGCAAACCCAGCACTCAGTCTTGAAGCTCCCTGTTTGATCTTAGGCCTATCCCACCTGGCAGGGTAGCTGTGAGGGGGAAATGGAAGATAAGTCGGGGTCATTTCCTGCAGGAGCGCACAGGAGCGAAACTCCGGCAGTAAAGAGCCCAGGGGACGGGCACAAGCAATAAGCCCCACCACCTGCACCCAGCAGCCCTCAGTCAGAGCGAGAAGCAGCCAGGTAGGTTGCAGAGCTCCCCCCAGCCCCCCCCTCCAAAACAGTCCAGTGGCACCTTTAAGACCATGTTTTATTCAGGTACAAGCTATCCCTCCTCTGCGAGGACAGATCTGCACATTCCACCCCCCACCCCCCAATAGCTAGCAATCCAAAACAGTCCAGTGGAGCCTGAGCCGTGGGTGTTGCCTTCTGACACACTTCCGGTGATGTCAGGGGGTGTGGTGTATGCAAATGAGTTATGCTAATGAGTTGTGCTAATGAGCTCCTGCACCTCTTTTTCTACGAAATGACCCCAGATCACCCCCCAGCTTAAAGGGAAGGCTTCTTTTCAAATTGCACCTCCTGAGACATGCTCATGTGTCAAATAAACTCAAGGAAGCGCAAGCTCATGGAGATCTGGTCATATTGATTGATCAACTCATGCCACCAATCATTAAATGTTTCCTAAAATGAGTGGCCCCTGAAGTGAATTCTGCATGACTCATGATTCAAAGCGAACTTTAGCTCCACCTCCACCTGCCCGCCCAGCCAATCTCCTCCTCACTTGCCTCTCCCAAAGCAAGCTCCTTCTTCACCAGCTCTTTCAACTCCATCTTGCTGAGGGTAAATTTGTCTCCTTCCTTCCCAGAATATTTGTGGAAGGTGTACACCAAGGTGGCCAGGGCTTTCTCCAGGGGTGTCTCCATTCTGAGCAGCTAGGCAGGATCTGGAAGAGACGAGTGAGAAAAATGTCAGTTTTCCTACGGAGAATTGGTATAACATAGATCAAGATGGGTAGCTATGTCTGTCTGTAGCAGTAGAAAAGAAGAAGAAGAGGAGGAGGAGACTGGATTTATACCCCACCCTTCACTACCCGAAGGAGTCTCAGAGCGGCTTACAATCTCCTTTCCCTTCCCCTCCCCACAACAGACACCCTGTGAGGTAACTAGGGCTGAGAGAGCTCTGAGAGAAACTGCCCTTGAGAGAACAGTTCTGAAAGAATTTGTGATTGACCCAAGGTCACACCAACAGACACCCCTTGAGGTAGGTGGGGCTGAGAGAGCTCTCTCTCGAGAACTGCCCTTGAGAGAACAGCTTTGAAAGAACTTGGGACTGACCCAAGGTCACGCCAGCAGCTGCATGTGGAGGAGTGGGGAATCAAACCCAGCTCCCCCAGATTATGATCTGTGCTCTTAACCACTAAACAAAACTGGTATCTGAAGAAGCGAGCAGTGACTCACGCAAGCTCCTACACTGCCACATATTTTGTAAGTCTTTGAGTGCGTTCAGACGGGCAGCTAATCCCGTCATGATGCCAAATTGGATTTTATCCCGATCTTTTAAATCCATCGTAGCACAACCATACAGCCCCCTGGTGAATCGCCTTACCGTGCGCTGCCTCCGTTGTGGATTGTCTAGATGGCGTCCACTGAAGGAGGCATGCGCGGTGGTTTTTTTAAAAAAAAACCCTTTTTGCACATGCGCATGGGCGTGACAACATGTCTTTGTTGATCCGCGCATGTGTAGACATTTTTTAAAATGGCGCCTGCTTGGGATGGTCTGACATCAGACCACCCTGATGGGAGGAGTGCGCAATAGTGGAACGATCAGATGGGTGAAAGTCCACAGTTGTCCCACAGGTAACCAAAAACCCCAAATTTAAAGAGCTATCTTTTAAGTATGGCTCCGAAGCGCGGCAAAACGGGATGCCCATGGAAGAGGGACATTTCCCAGATGTTTGTGTCTGGACATTACCTTTAGATCCATGAGGCAATCGTGCCTCACACGGATCTAAAGAGCCGTCTGATCGGACTCCGAATGGTGCTTCTGGACCCTTGCTTTTTTCTTTCTTTCTTTCTTTTTTAAAGTACCCGAGGGTACACTTTTATTATTTATTTATTTTTTCCTTATATACTACAGACATACATACAGACAACACCCAACTACCCCCAACAACATATAACAAGAGACTTTTATCACTTCTTCTGCTTATTAAATTTCTAAATTCATCATCTGCTTTACTAAGCTTATCTTTTCTGCGTTCTCAAATTACTACATTTATCTATCAGTTGCGTTTACATTCTACCAATCATAGAATCTCTTCCAAGTTTTTTGAAACGTCCATTCTGTGCCGGCTCTCATCTCAAGTGTCAGTTTGTCATTTTCCGCCGTTTCAAATAGTTTATTCATGACCCTTGCTCTTTTCTATTGGTATGAGATATTTCTTACAGGGTCTATCACTCACGAAGATATAGTAAAAAACAAGAAAGACCATGATGGAAAATGCCGGAACTGCCAAAATACAGATGAAGCATTTTATCATATGTGGTGGTCATGTGAGAAGGCAAGAAAATATTGGTTAGTGATACATGAAGAAATACAAAAGATTTTGAAACTTAAGTTTGTGTTTAATCCTAAAAACATGTTATTAAATATAGTACAAAGTAATATTACTAAGACATACGGTGAACGATTTAATTATATGGTGACAGCGGCAAGAGTAATTTTTTGCGGCAAAATGGAGAGCAGAAAAATGTCCAGATTTGCAGGAATGGAAGTATAAACTAAGCAAATGCAATCGCAAAACTGACATACATAATAGACCAACATCAGAAATTCAAGAAACACGGAAACCTTTTTTTTCCTAATATATAGCTGTAAGTTAAGGATAAAATTAACGAAATAGTAAATGATAGAAGGAAAGGAAAGAGTGAGGAAATATATTTTAAAAGTGTTGTTAAATAAGATGATAGATTGAAGAGATAGAACAAGGATATTTTAACCAGTTTGGTGTCGTGGTTAAGTGCGTGGACTCTAATCCGGGAGAACCGGGTTTGATTCCCCACTCCTCCACTTGCACCTGCCGTGATGACCTTGGGCAAGCCATAGTTCTGATAAGAGCTATTCTTGAAAAAGAGCAGTTTCTGTCAAGAGCTCTCTCAGCCCCACCTAGCTCATAGGGCATCTGTTGTGGGGAAGGGGAGGGAAAGGAGTTTGTAAGCAGCTCTGAGACACCTTTGGGTAGTGAAGAGTGGGGTATAAATCCAATCTTCTCCTCCTCCTCCTCCTCCTCTTCTTCTTCTGAAGGGAAGTGGAACATTAATGTAAATATAAGTAAGTGCCATACAAATGTATGAACTGAATATACATGAGAACAGCTTTATATGTCTATATGCTTTGTATGTCTGTAAACGGAAATAAAATTTAGGGGGGAGAATGGGGGGGGATTTCAGCCTTCCAACAAGGGACCAGTGAGCCATCGAGTCAAACTCTCTTAGAACGAGGCAGATAGCATTGCCAGCCCAGAGATGGGAAACTCCTGTAGATTCCAGGGGTGGAGTCTAGGGAGGGCGGGGTTTGGAGGAGGAGCTCAGCGGAGTATAATCCTATAGAGGGTGATGGAAAACCCTGTGAAGTCACAGTGGACTTATGGTGACCCCGTGAGGTTTTCAAGGCAAGAGATGTTCAGAGGTGGCTTGCCATGGCCTGCCTCCAAGTCCTGACCCTGGTATTCCTTGGAGGTCTCCCATCCAAATACTGACCAGACTGCTCTGGAGACCCCTGAAGCAAGGAAGGGGGAAACACCAAGACTGTGCCGTGGGGGAGCAGTAGGATTGGCACATTTCGATGGGCAATCTGTGCGTTCAAGATGCTATATTCATAATAAGGTCCAGACTAGACATAGACATATGGTCACCTTGCTTATTTAATTTATATGCAGAGTACATCATGTAAAATGCCGGCCTGGATGAATCACAAGCCGGATATAAGACTGCTGGGAAAAACATCAACAACCTCAGATATGCAGACGATACTACTCTAATGGCAGGAGGTGAAGAGGACCTCAAGAGCCTCTTGCTTAGAATGAAAGAGGAGAATGCAAAAGTTGGCTTGAAACTCCACATCAAAAAAATTAAGATCACGGCATCTGGACCCACCACTCCTTGGCAAATAGAAGGGGACGTCATGGAAGCAGTGACAGACTTCATGTTCCTGGGTTCCAAGATCACTGCAGACGGTGACTGCAGCCATGAAATTAAAAGACGCCTGCTCCTTGGGAGGAAAGCCATGGCAAACCTAGACAGCATAATAAAATGCAGAGACATCACCCTCCCTTCCAACAAAAGTCCATATGGTCAAAGCAATGGTATTCCCAATTGTAATGTATGGCTGTGAGAGTTGGACTATAAGGAAGGCCGAGCGCCGAAGAATAGATTCTTTCGAATTATGGTGCTGGAGAAGACTCTTGAGAGTCCCTTGGACTGCAAGGAGATCATATCAGTCAGTCCTAGAAGAAATCAACCCTGACTGTTCCCTGGAAGGCCAAATAATGAAACTGAAGCTCAAATACTTTGGCCACCCAATGAGAAGGGAGCACTCACTGGAGAAGACCCTGATGCTGGGAAAGATTGAAGGGCAAAGAAGACGGGGACGGCAAAGGATGAGGTGGTTAGACAGTGTTGTCGAGGCAATGGATGTGAAATTAAGCAGACTCCGGAGAATGACGGAAGACAGGAGGGCCTGGCGTGATGTGGTCCATGGGGGTCGCGAAGAGTCGGACTCGACTGTACGACTGAACAACAACACCCATTTTTGTCTTCGCTCAAGAAGGATGGCTCCCGAGCAAACTGATGTATGCAGTAGTCAAATCACCCGCTCACAGCTTGAACGCCAGTAGCTCACAAAGTCGAATCTTTGCTCTCAGGACTCGACAGCGTAGAGGGAGCATTGCTTATGCCGTAGCAAGAGTCAGGTGGGGCCGCCGTGTTGGCCTGAAGCAACAGAACAAAGACTGAGTCCGGTGGCACCTGTAAGACCAAGACGTTTTAATTCCGGGCAGGGGTCATTTCCTGCAGGAGCGCACAGGAGCAGAGCTCCGGCAGTAAAGAGCCCAGGGGGTGGGAACATGCAACAAGCCCCGCCCCCTGCTCCCTGCAGCCCTCAGTCAGAGCAAGAACCAGCCAGGTAAGTTGCAGAGCTCCCCCCAGCCCCCTGGTCCAAAACAGTCCAGTGGCACCTTTAAGACCAAGTTTTATTCAGGTACAAGCTCTCCCTCCTCTGCGAGGACAGGTCTGCACGTCCCCCCCCCTCCAAATAGCTAGCGATCCAAAACAGTCCGGTGGAGCCTGAGTGGTGGGTGTTGCCTTCTGACACACTTCCGGTGATGTCAAGGGGTGTGGCCTATGCAAATAAGTTATGCTAATGAGTTACGCTAATGAGCTCCTGCACCTCTTTTTCTACGAAATGACCCCTGATTCCGGGTGTCAGCTTTCGTGTACATGCACACGAATGCTTATGCCCAGAATTTAACTTTGTCGGTCTTACAGGTGGCACTGGACTCAAACTTTGTTCCGATGCCGTAGCAAATAGGGAATATCAAGCGTTTGCCTGCCTTGATTTCCATGAACGGGCCACTGGCTAAGATTTGCGTAAAGTGTGTCTCGGTAGGTAATTAGGGACATGCCCGCAGAATGTTTAAGCAGTTCCCAGGGACTTTAACTGATCTTGTTTTCCCTTAAACAAGCGGTTTACCTTCAGGGCTGGGCTGTGGGACTGTGTTGTACAAGGGTGGTGTGTCTGAGAAGCAGGCAGTTTTTACAATGGGAATTTCAACAGAGACAAAGAGAGAGGGAGGAAGAAAGAGGGGTGGCTGTATCTTGCTGAGGCTGGATTCAAGAGCTCGCCCAGGGAATCTGATGCTATCTGCCCGCAGGAATACCTGAACAC